TCAAATTTTAACCCCCACTGATGGCAACGACCACTTTTTTAATAGAAATCTGCTAAAAAAAACTTTATGGGGTAACGATGGTAAGGCAAAAAAAAAAAAAAAAAATCATAATAAAAAATAGTTATGAATAGTTACGAATAAAACAACAGGGAAAAATAAGAGGAGACGGTTGCAGCACAGTGTGGGGGATTATTGTAAGAGAGTGAATCTGAATGATGTTTTTTGCTTTCTAAAACTATGGTTGTTTAGCATGTAGTTACAACCCTGCTGCTAAGTGGCGCACTGGTGACCTGTGGGTAGTTAACAGATTAAAATGAATAGAGATGGCATGAAAATATTACATGGGTTAGTTTGTATATTAATCAGTTTTCCTGTAACTTCTCTGTTCACATCAAACCGTTGTGTGAATTAAAATGTAAAAGCTAAATAATGCTGACAAAGTGCCTGCACAGTTTCAAGGTTAGCCTTTCTATCATCTTGTTATTATTTCATATTCTGACTAATAATTGTATGTCCTGCAGGTGCGACGGGATCAGGTCCCTGTCATCTATTACACAAACCTCCTGATCTCCAACCTAATCCAGATGTGCACTATCATCATTATCGTGGCAAAACCAGATGATCATGAAACCTACATGATGTCTTTTGTTATTTACTATTTCGGTGTCCAGGCCAGTCTTTACTTCAAGTTGTGCATTGCTCTGGAAAGGTACCTGTCTAACTTTCAGTGTGTGTACTTGCATGTGCTTGAGTACTATATTGTACTGTGAATCATCCATATTTTTAGAAATAATATATTCTCTACTGTGAAAATTAAATTATCTGTCTGTCTTGTGTTGCAGGTGTTTTTTCATCACCCGCCCACTGACGGACTTTATGAGGCAAACCAGGAGTTCTGTGCTGGTCTGCATTCTGGTCTGGGCCCTTTGTGTTGTCAGTGTACCTGTTGCCATAGTCTTGCGTTATTTTCTACGAGTCCTTATTTTGATCCTAGTCCCTGCCTTTCTGTTCATCATCTGTTTTGCTGCGACCCTCAAAGCCCTGCATGCTGCCTCCACAGTGAGCACCGAGGAAAAGCGAAGAATTGTAGGAACTTTGGTTCTGTTGCAGCTTAGTTACTTTCTGATGATCCTACCTGCAATTACTGAGTTAACTTTTGAATTTCACCCACATGACACTGTCAGAGATGTTGTTTTTATCTTGTTTCTACTCAGTCCTTTTATGGACCTGATTTTGTTTATTCTCATGCAGAAAATGCCCACTGACAAGCGGCTGGCTGGTTTGTGCTGCTGCAGTAGGTGTAGCAGCAGCTCATCATTGTGAGGAAAAGCAAATGGCTGTTGTACTACAGATTTAAGCAGCAAAAACGATTTTATTTTATATGCTCGAATATACAGAAAATAGGTTTAAATGTTAAATAAATGTCTTCCAGTCAGAGAATGTTTCATATAATTTAATTTTTGCTGGATGCGTAAAGTTAAAAGATTATAAATAATAAAACTAGTTTTAAAAAGAGACTTTTTCATTTGATTACATTTTGTATGATGGATTATGCAGAGAAACTAGAATTGGTCTGAAAAATCTATTGCTTTATCACCTATTCAGGTTGTAAATCATGTTTTTAAAAAGTAACTAAGTAACTAATTACTTTTGAAAATAAGTAATCAGTAAAGTAACAGGATTACTTTTTGGGGGAAGTAATCAGTAATTAGTTACTGATTACTTTTTTCAAGTAACTTGACCAACACTGGTGGCTACTTGCCTTCTGTGCCATCCAACATGACACTGATGGACTTTATGAGGAAAACCAGGAGTTCTGTGCTGGTCTGAGTCTGAGTTAACGTTTGAATTTCACCCACATGACACTGTCAGAGATGTTGTTTTTATCTTGTTTCTATTCAGTCCTTTTATTACGGAGCCCCGCAGGGGACATGGGAGAAAAAAAAAATTAAGACGGACTTTTGCGAGATCTCGCAAAAGTCCGTATTAATTTTTTTTTTCTCCCATGTCCCCTGCGGGGCTCCATATTTTATGGACTTGATTTTTTTTTTTTGCAGAAAATGCTCACTGACAAGCCGCTGGCTGGTTTGTGCTGCTGCAGTATGTTGCAGCGGGCCATCAGTGTGAGGAAAAAGCAAACGGCTGTTGTAGCTTTAAGCAGTACTGGGACAATAAATCTGCATCTCCATGTGAATGTATTCATTTCAGAATTTTATTTTATAATTTTAGTTCTATAGTGTTAGTTGCATTTTATTTACTATATAGAGAAATCTTTTACATTACAATGTTCACTGCAGTTTAAAATTATAAGGCAAACTTACATCCATCTACAGAAGCTTTTGTCTCTGCTTTTTCCTCAGCCATTCCTAATGTCTAGACTAATTTCTTCCTGGTTAAATAAAGAAAATAATATAAAGCACTATTTTTTCCATAAATTCTTTTGTTATTTTGTGTTTTGCTTTATGATGTCATGTACCATCTATAGTCTGAATTGCTGTTAGTAATGCTGCTGTGTTTTTTCCAGGAGGACTCATGAATCAGATCACGGTGGTATTTCACTAAACTCCACAATGAGAAATAAACATTTAAGCATTTCAAAATTCATAACGATAATGGTTTAAATTTGAGGATACTATTTAATGCTCTCGGACTTTCAGCTCAGACGTTTTTAAAATATATTTGACCACTAGATGGCGCCATGGTGCTCTCAATAGAGGATGCTTTAATGTTAGTTTACCTCCACTTTTTTTTAGATTTGAAGAATCATAGAAAATAGACCAGCGTGAGTGCTCTTGGCAATAGGTTTGTATACATTTATGATGTTATATTTTTCTTCTAAATCCAATCTGGAAGCTGGATCCACATAGGGCTGCACTGAAAACTGAAGGCTCTGCCTCCCATTCTACTTTTAAATACTCCAACCACAAGTAAGCCTGCAGTCTGAGACCGAAGTGCTTTAATGGAGGAGCAGGGTTTTGAATTTCATTCTGGATTTAACAGGGAGCCAATGAAAGGAAAACAGTATATGAAAAATCTGCTCTCTCTTTCTAGTCCTTGTCAGTACTCCTGCTGCAGCATTTTGCCTTAACTGAAGGCTTTTCAGGGAGTTTTTAAAACATGCTGATAATAATGAATTACAGTAGTCCAGTCTAATAAATGCATAAACACATAAATGGCTTTATAGAGACTTTCTTTTCAGAGGAGCTACAGTATCCAGAGTCATACGTAGTGAAGATTTGCTATGCTTTTACTTAAACTTAACCACTTGTGTCAGTAAATCTTCTTCCAACTATGTCATGACTATGAGCCTACACAGACTGCTTTTTTGGGTCACTAGATAGTGACATGGAACTGCAAATGTTGGCATGATGGATGAACTATTTGCAAAAGAGGGTGTGTTAAGGACATAGAGTGGACTTTAATGTTACTAATGTAATTAGTAAATGTTTCAACTTATTTACCTAAATATTAGGGATGGGTATCGAAAACCAGTTCTTGTTGAAAACCGGTTCCCACTGTTTCAATTCCTTGGAATTGTTTGCCATTTTTGCAAACGATTCCCTTATCGATTCCAGTC